CGCCTCTCTCTCGCACGCCGCTCGCTTGTGCGCGGCTTTTCGCGGCTTCTCGCAAGCTTCTCGCGTTTCTCCGCGCTATCTCGCGTTTCTGGCGCAGTTTTCTCGCGGTTTCTCGCGTTTCGCTTGGCGGCTTTCGCAGTTTCTGCGCGAACTTCGGTATAGCTGTCGTCAGAGTACGTTAGTTTGCGACTCGTATCGATATTGTGTTGTTTAAGATAGAGCCGAACGTCGTAGCAGGCGCGCTACGCCGACCAGGCGAGCTTCGCTTCCACGTTTACACGAGTAGAGCCGAGAGTCCGTTGATATTTATAACGATACAAAATCTTTTCCGGCGGGAATTGGCTTAATAATTACTATACAGCTCGAGTAATCACTCCATTCGATCTCGCATCGCTCGATCTCCAGACGACGCAGGCGACCGGTGTCGATTGCGTCGAATGCGCGGATCGAAATCCGCGGTATTTATAGGAAGCGTGGCGCTAACGCATGCTGTTGTTATATTTATCGACGACACTCGGCGCGCGTCGATAGCGACGGCTAGAAGCGTAGGCTGGTTCGAGTGAGCCGACGCGAGAGTGCGTGGCTGGTTCGCGGAGCGACGGAGAGGCGCTGCGCCGTTTGGTCGTCGCAGCGACGGGCAGCAGGCGGTGAGTTGCGTCGTCGCAGCGACCATACGACGCGCTCGATGAGTCGTCAGCGAGCGACGGAGAGGCGTGGCTGCGTCGGTCGGGAACGACGGAGAAGCGTGGGTTGGTCGTCGGCTCAGCCGACATACGAGCCGTGCGATGGCCCAGTCGTTCAGGAGGACGCCGAGCAGGCGTGGGTTGGTCGTCGGCCAGCAACATAGAGCCGTGGGTTCGGTCGTCCGGCAGCCGACAAGAGAGGCGTGGGTTGCCGTCGTCGGCAGCGACCAGAGAGGCGTGGGTTGGCGTCGCCCCCCCCCCCTCCCCTCGCGCGAGCGACGGCAGAGCGCGTGGGTTGGTCGGTCAGCGAAGCCGACGGAGAGGCGCTGGGCTTCGGTCGTCGGCAGCAACATAGAGCGTCTAGGGTTCGTCGCTCGGCAAGCGACAGAGAGGCGTGTCGTTTTGTCGTCGGCAGCGCGAACAGAGAGGCGTGCCGTTGCGTCGTCGCAGCCGCACAGAGAGCGCGTCGTTGGGGTTGGTCGTCGGGAGCGACCGCGAAAGGCGTCGCGCGTTTCGGTGTCACGGAGCGACGAGCAGAGGCGTGAGGTTTGGTCGTCGGCAGCGACGGAGAGCGGGTGTTGCGTCGTCGGAGCGACGGAGAGGCCGTGGCTTGCGTGGTCGTCGGCAAGCGACGGCAGCAGGCGTGGGTTGGTCGTCGGGGCGATGGCAGAGGCGTGGGACTGGTCGTCGGCAGGCGACGGAGACAGGGGCGGCGTGGTTGCCGTCGGTCGGAGCGACGGAAAGGCGTGGGTTTGGGTCGTGGGCAGCGACAGAAGAGGCGTGGC